ACTGGCTCCTCCGACTCGAACACAATGCGCTGCCTTGCTCCGCGGTCGTGAATCAGGTCACCGCGGATAATCGTGACAGACCCATTCGCAAATCCAACTGCCACCTGGGACAGGTCGTCCAGAGCAGTGAACGCAGAAACCTAAGCCATCAATATGGTGTCTTCGGATCCTGACGTATAATGTAGAGCACATACGGGAAATATCCTCCTCGCATTCTGGATGGACGTCGTTGACAGGCATCGTGGGGCACCGGTCTTCTTCTCGATCTTGTCGAGGGCCCAGACCTTCAATATCGGTTCGTTCGGAAGATCTTCCGCGATGGTCAACAGCAATGAGGATGCGTCTATCTGCTTGATGTGTGCGATCGAGCCGGTCTCCGATGCCTTGAACGAGCGGACGAGTTTGAAAGACGAGGAGATGATATGGACAAAGCCTTCGTTGGAGCCGAGGAAAAGGTAAGAGGAGCCGGAGCAGAGGGAGAGAATATCAGACTATGTTAGACGCTGTATCAGTAGATAGAGCGACGAGGCTGGACGCGAACAAAAGCACGGGGGGGGAGGGGCCATACACCGAGAATAGATGAGCTCTCCTCCGGGAGCTTCACCGACGAGACATCGAAGAAGTTGAACGCTTTCCACTATTTCAGGGCGCATTAGTAACATGAGGAGGCTGAGGAGCTAAAATATGGAGCGTGCAGTCTCACTGATGTCAAAGCCATTTGGACACAGCCCACGCCATGGACTGAGGAGGTGAGCGATTAGCGGGATGGGGAGGAAGTGCAAGCTGGAGTGACATTGACTTGCGTGGAGTAACTTGAGACTAACTAGTCTTCATTCGCCGGATGAGCTCCGCCGCGCTAATTCCGCCCGCCCGCCCGTATCTCCGACTGTGAGGTCATTCTTGGAGCTTTTCGGATTGTTTACATCTTTTGCTTTTGTGGAGGTCGAAGTGCACTGCATTTAGTTGCAAACTCGATATAGCACTTGAACCTATCTGGCATAGGACCGGGAACTATGCTCTTGATCGATTCTTGTCTCTGATGTCAATTGCATGGTGGGTTCGTGGTGGTGGCATTTCTGTATATTCTTGCAGGCACGAACCTGCGTTTCTCAGAATGTATCACATCATAACCAACCGATCCTCAACGGTCTCAAGACACTTCGAACCGTATGGGAAGAGGGATTCAGGAGAAAAGACGTCAAGTTTTCAATAAACTATATTCACGAGGATATCATATCTCATAATGTGCGTCTATGTCGCTATGAAGCCCGGATGAAAGCTATGCCCGCAAAAAAGAGGAAAAGAAAAAAGAAATAGCTCAATGTACAAGAAGACTACCAGAGAACCAAGACCGCCTCGTGGCGCCACAAGCAAGTGATTGCCGTGATCGTCTTCTAAACCAAGTCACCATCAATGATTCTCTCAAGCATCTAGGCTTACCGCTGACCGGCCAGTGCCAGAGGGTGACCCCTTCTTATTCGGATGTGCGCATCGTTTGATTTCCTGACCTATGTCGAAGCTTTCCTTTAACCAGCTCCCGGCCTCAGCAATTGCTTCGTTGAGGTTGAAACTTTCAGCACCCATCGCGCCTCCCTGACCGTCCTCACCCGTGGTAGGCATAGTTCCGGAGAAGGTCATCTCCAAATCTTCTCCCTGAGTGGGATCTAAGAGATCCGCATGATCTGGCGGCTGAGATGATTCAATATTGAGGCTCTCGTCGTTGGCATAGTCCGGGATGGGGGAGGATAACGCCCCCTCGAAAGACGATCTTCCTGGCTTAGTGCTAGACTCAGGATATTGTGGAGTCAAAAATCGAGGTTTAGACCTCTTCTCAGTACTGAGCGTGAATGGCGTGACGGCGTCAATGAGGTATTGTGTGCTCATCACGGGGCCTTTCATCGTCCCGGGTGCCTTGTTGCCTGGCATGTTCTCGAGCCCACCGGGTGTAGCCACTCTGCAAAACGGCGTGATATCATTGCGGGATATAGAACTTGGGTTTGCAGCCCGACCAGGAGTATTTTCTGGGCTTTCAAGGTCTTTCTGAAATGATATCTGGGCGTGAAGAAGAGCGGCCTGTGTATTGAACTGCGGGTCGGGAATAGTCTCTTCGTCACTCTGAGTATGAGCCTTTGCGGCAGAGATCGTATGTAGCGATGTAGCGTTGTGCGTAATGGCTGGATTCAGGGGGTTATGTTGCGCTGAGGGTAATTTGTCACTCACGTTTGCCGCTACATGCTCGAAGTTGGACGATGCCCTCTCTGTCGATGAGATGACTTGCGATGTAGCAGCATCTGTGACCTGCACTTCATCTGTAACCTGCGGCTGAGAAGCAGGCGCACTCTTCTCATCTGCGGCAAGGGGATCGGGCGAGTCGAGCCGGATAGCGTCTTCCGGAGATGCGCCGTGCGAGGGTTGATTATCATGGCATTGATGGTCGTTGTCCTCAGCCATATCGATTTTATTGGGACTATCCTCTTGCTTCTGATGCGCAGACGTAGAATTGGCCTCCTGCTTGCCGTGTCCGGAGGTCTTTGCGCGCCGGTACTCAAATTTCGGCAGGTGCGAGGACGAGGAAAGGACATAAAGCGAGCCTTCCTGGTTTGCTGCATCGGAAAAAATTCCTTGAGGATCAGATTGACTACTGCGCTGCTCCTTGAAGGCAGGAACCTTGACACTGTCCGGTACACGATGAACATCACGTTTGTCCTCGCGCAAGTGATCAAGATCTTTCCGATGATCCCTGACTGCCCATCGGTAGTCAGTCGCGGGTACTTGTATGATGTTGTCCTTCGCTCCCTGACGGCGAGACGATATAGTTGCCGTAGGGGATGTCGGCGGATTGACAGTTCGAAACCCAATTCCGGCACAGTCCTTCTTCAGCCAACCTCTGTTTGTGTGTGGAGACGGGTGGCCCTTGGAGACAAATGTATCTTTAGGTGTGGCGCTTGCAACTCGTATATCTCTGCTGTTGCCCCGCGCTCGTTTGTTAGAGGATCCTGTGGTCGAATCCTTCCCGGATTCTAGATTCGGAATTGTCTCGGGATGTTGAGTGGAAGGTTGCGAGCGTTGTGTATCACGAGACTCGTGGTGGTATAGTGGTCGTTTTCGCGGATTCGTCTCCGGGATCACTGGCCGTTTTTGATTTTCATCCTCGGTACCCTCCGATCCGCCATGCCTGCACCGATCCTTTCTCCAAGGATTGACCCATCCATTGTCGAAAGGTCCTCGAAGCGATGCAGACAAAAGAAAAAGCGGTGAGCCTTGTAGATAAGCTTCAGCAAGCTTCTCAATTCTCCGATGTCGAGCCAGACGCTCAGTAGGATCTAAGTCGTCATCGGAGCCAGCAAGAGTGTCGAGGTCACTGTCCGGTGGGGGTAGCGAGCATGAATCGAAGGAGAGCGGGGATATTGGGCGACGAGGTGGCATCGGTGAAATGATGATGCATTCATTGATCGTTCGGATAGGGGGAATTCAAGGGCGCAGCAGCTTGGCACTGGCTGCATCTGGCGGAGAATGGGGGATTTTCGTATTTTAGAGTGACCCTCATAGCTTCTGAAGTAAGTGATTGTCAGGACATCATCTTTTCATCCTCAGCTCCCAACTGTTCGAAGTGTCTAGGCTGCTGTCTGGCTGTCACGCGAGAAGAAAAACCACTTAACGCGTGGATTGAGTGGATGCCCCAGCAACGTGTCGTTGGCTGGGGTTATGTCAGCACCCGTCAATTGTTGACTAGTTACTTACCCTTTTCGGCATTGTATTTAATAGGGACCGAGGACTTTCGTGGACCTAACTAAGTACAAGCTACAAATAATCAGTCGTGAGTTTAAGTGATAAGTTACTGCTTACAATAGGTTCATGGCAGCCCTCAATTGAGCCCAGCGCATCTTCCCACAGTACTTATTGCCTGAGGTTGTGGGGTTCTGGCTGGACTCCTAGGAAACAGGGAACTCTAGCCCTGCTAGTATCATTGTTGTTGCGCAGATGCCGATAACATAATATCTACAGCCAATTTTATCATTCTCTACACAGGAATCGAATCAAATTGGCTTCAGTTCTTTGGCCAGTAGTGCGCTTTATACAAGGAACTGTAGCCCTAGGACTCGCTGGGTCCTTACCAGATGCCTACTAACAAACCCAACGCTAGCGATACACACTGGCCAAGAAAAAGCCAGTTTTGTGCCCATCTTACGTATGGTTTCTTCCTAACCCAACACGAGAGCTTGGTCTGGGACTTGAAAGAGCGCCATGCTTTTGGGGCAAATTGTGTCGAGGAACCTGAAACACCCAACCTGCAACCTTGCAGGGTTGGCCTGAGATCTTCCCTCATCGATCCCTCGCGCCGACACAATGTCACTTGCTGAGCATGAGACTTGAAGCACTGTAAGTGAACTAGACCCGACAAGGTGCTCGTTGACTATATCGGACTTGGAGCTGCAATTGGCTGGAGAGGGTCCAATGCCAACGCACCAGAACCCAAGCTTTCAACTTTCAGGTTGTAATTTACGCCGTAATGTATGTACTCCATTACTGTAGGTACTGCAGTAGCTTACAGATAAAGAGGAATGGATCAAGCCCAAGCAAGGCATGAGACTGGTCATTTCCCCTCGAGGGGTGGGGGGTTTAAAAGGTAAAATTAGATAGGAAAGGATGTAGGGGACGAGCACGGTCTCGGGGAAGCACATGCGTGCCACACTGCCACCTGTGATTTATCACGGGGAGATAAAAAAGTGGATAAAGTGATTGAGCTGACAGTTCCATCGTGGCGGGGAAGAAAAAAGAAAAACAGACTGGAAATTGAAAACTGAAAGATCGAAAGATAGTCTGTAAGTTAGTCTGTAGACTCAAAACAATCGAAAAGTAGGAAGTAAGTATAGCCAGCCCGGTATTAAATACGGTAAGGTTGCCCCGACCACATCTACAGTAGGTTAGCTCTACCTGTTATCAATATTACTCCCGCATCGTCCATCAAACAATTTATTGATTATTCCCAACCCTCCCAAAGTGTGTGTGTCTCTCTGTCTCGCATGTTCCCGCAACATCCTTATACGCCTTCATTGTTGGTGGTGTTCAATGCCTTTGATTTATTTCTCCATTTCTATTCTTGGATGAGGGTTCCTTGACCCATGGTCGCCCTGCAGCTGTTAATTTCCGCTGTGCTTGCATTCACGGACATTGTGAATCGCGACGCGCTGTCCCCAGCTTGCCCTCCGCCCAACCTCCGAGACCACTACCCCCCTCTCCTTAACTTCCACCCCCCAGCTTTGGTGATCGCAAACCTTTCAGAAAATGAGCAACAACCCTCCATGGCTGGAGAATCTTACAGACGACTGGGTCCCAGTCCCTGCACCTGGAACTCCTGGAACGCCCGGCACTCCCACCAGCCCAATCCTATCCCGATCATTCACCCATTCCCGACGGTCTAGCCTACAAAACTCTCCTAGTCGCATTCCTGTTCCCGCGCGTCGCTCCGTCGGCCCTTCTCCTGACTCTTTCAGGAAGAAAGTTTCCAGACCGTGCCACTTCATTAAACGTGAACCACCCACACCTAAGCCCCCTCGTACCCCCAAGACCCCCTCCAAGCTACGATCGCCGCTCCCTCCCCCAGAGAAGTCCAACAAAAGCAGCCCGAAACCGATCCCGAACCCGCCCTCGCTCCGTAAACAGTCGTCTGCCATGGACACGAGGTCACCGTTGCGATCGGTTTCGAATGTCTCCGGTGAATCGGAACAACAAAGCACGGTTCAGGTTAGACCAAATAAGGGCAAAGGCAAGGAAGGCACCCCAGAATGGAAGAGAAGACTGGTGCACGGAAACATCGCCGCTGGGGAGCAGCGCGACTTATTTGCGCCGATTGGGCTGGAGAGTGTTTTCAAACCTCCGACCCCGGGCACCGAAAAGACGCACGAGGAGGCGCTATCGCGATTGAAACAGTTAGACAGTATGTGGCACTTTACGACCCCACTAGGCTATGACGATGCCAGTTTCCAAGATCCTTCATCATTTGGCGCATACAACGACGAAGATTCAGTGGGCCACAGTCCGAAGTCGTCACCGAAGCAGGAAGAGGCTCGGAGCAGTCCGCTGGGTTCGCCAGGATCACCAGGATCACCAAGGTCGCCAGGATCACCAAGGTCGCCAGGATCACCAAGGTCGCCAGGATCACCAAGGTCGCCAGAATCACCAAGGTCGCCAGGATCCCCAAGGTTGCCAGGTTCGCCAGGGTCGCCAGGGTCGCGCAGCGGGATGCGAGCCATGAGCAAAGAATCAAAGCGACCCTCACCAGAAGATAACGAACACCTCGACGTTTCCTTCGCCGACACACAACAAAGAACCGCGAGCGGCATGGAGGATTTGCGCAATGAAGACATAACACCAATCACGTTCACACGCACGAACACAGTTGACGGACAGACTACGTCGGAGGTCATTAAATCGGCACTGAAACAGGTGACAAACAAGCTCGAGAGACTACACCTTTCACCCTGGGACCGACCAGAATCTCCAGCGAGTGACAGCCTGTTGATTCACCAACAGCCAGAAATGGCGGTGGATACCATGCCGGAGGATGACTTGCTCGATGTCACGAGTCATTCTCTACCAAAAGACCTCTCCATGGGGACGCTAGATTACCGGGGAAGAGGAGCCTTCGCAAACTTGCGGAGGGAAGAAGACGTGAACGAAGGTTCTTTCCAAAGAATTCGTCTTTCCCCGCCCACCTTCCCTTCTGAGCGCCTCTCGCCGTTTCTTCCTGCCAGCTCCAGAATCCGAAGCTCGCCCCCATTCTACCAAAAACCCAATCCTCTAACCGACCCACCAACGCTCCCACGACCCTCATCTGCCCATGTTGGTGCGCCGAAGCTCCTGCAATCCAGCGCCGATCACTTGAAACCAGACGCCATGCCCTCCTCTGGAAGCCCGCTCAAGCTCTTCGGAAACCATGATACCTTCACCAACAATCGCCTTTTGCGCAGGATGAGCCAGTTCGAAGAGACATTTGGGGGTATGTCCGAGGATGATGAACCAGACTCGCCATCAGAGGGAGCTCGTCGCAAGGGCGAAGGAAGAAGTTTTCTTACCGTCAACCATGAGGTTCTGGGTGAGCCATCTTCACGGCGACATGAAAGACCGCGGTCGCGCAATACCCCGACCCCGCGTATCAACAAATTCGGTGACGGCCAGCTGGACAATTTTGACTTTTCCGACACAAGTCCGTATGAACCCAAATTTTTGAATAGTGAGATGGTGGAGCCTACTCAAGAACCGCCGCGACAACAGTCTGTTGAGCGAAGATTTCTGCGGCGCCGCTCGTATAGACAGAACAGCCATAGTTCCGACTTCAACAAATCGAACAGGGGCTCGAGGTCTACGGCTTTGTCAGATATCACCTCAAGTTCCAAGGCTATAAGAAATCAAGGGCTGGCAAGAGTAGAGGAGATGTACCCGTCAGAGACCGATACAACGCCGAACACGCCTGCTAAAGACCCAACCCCCAAGAGGCGCAGAACCTTCCTTAGGTCTTACAATTCGAGACAAGATCCTGCTGAAAATACGGCTCAGGATCCAGATAATATGTCCTTGCTCCAGCGAAGCTTGGTCCAGCAAGGAGTGAGATGTGATGATGACCAAGATCATCAATTCTCAGTCCGTTCCCGATCGTCCCCTCGACCGCGAACTCCAACCACAAGTCAAGGGCGGTCTGCTTCACGAAAAAGGCCGTCATCAGGCAAGGCTTACTCGCGGGCTGAGTATGCCGATTCCATCGACCTAGGTTCCCCCGAGGACAGCGCAATACCCATGGTAAGGGTGAATGGTATCAATGAAGGTGGTCGTAAGGGCTCAATCACCACTCAAGACTTCCTGAACGAAGCGACCAAGATCATGGACATCATTCGATCCAAAGGCAGGTCCGCAGGCGGTCTGTCTAGCGTAGAGGAATCTGATGCAGAGGAAGATATCGACGAAAGCGGAAGTTATGAAGACGAATCGACTCGGGAGGAATTTTCGCGGCCTCCTAGTCGCGAAGGAACCGACATGCGGAGACTGAGGGAGCCCCAACAACAAAGCCCACGGATCCTAAGCCACCTCAAGAAGTTTCAGGAGGTCGATGACCAGGAGTTTGGGGTCAACGCATCTGCCATGTCTCTGAATCTGCACCAAGACCGGGATCATCCGAATGATAACAGCAGCGGTCTACACGATGCGGAAACAGAGGAAGGCGAGAGCCATGAGCTCGACCTGCAGTCGGCTGATCTAGACTTCCGCCAGCGTGATGGATTCTCAGCCGGTGAACCTGAGGAGGATGATGACCTGCCCGAACTTTTGACCATCAATACGCAAGTATCGTCCAAGAGCCTCAGTGCGCGCTCGGTCCCCACCGGCTCTTCACAGAGTTCGCATGCAAAGGGTGTTCTCTCATCCGATGTCGTCTCGCGACTTATACCCGAACAGGTGAATGGGCTGACCTATGACCGGGACAAGAATCAGTGGGTTCGGGAGAAACCCAAACCAACTTCCGAGAAGCCCAAGGGCGAAGATAGTGAAGACGATCCTTTCAAGGACATTCCTGACCTCAGTGTTGATGAACTGCAAGAGATGATGCGAATGCAGAGCTCCACCTCTCCCGAAAGAACAAAGGACTCTATTCGGCTCGAGAATGACCACCACTCAAGTCCACTAAGTTCACCTCGTTATTCGACGAAATCATCGATGCGCCAGTCGCAATTCAGAGATACAGGCACTTCGGTCGACGACAGCTCAGTGCGGTCCAAAGCACCCATTGATTCCAACGTTTCCGACTCTGAGACCAAAGCAACTTCTTGGGGTACAGACGCCCGCAAATCGAGCAAAACTATCAGCGAGGTGGAGCATGAGATTCAGCTTCACGAAGGACGACTATCGAAACCACCTCAACGTTTGGGGAATGGCCGCCAGCAAGCGCGTGTTGTGACGATAAGCTTTTCGTCCCCGCTTGTCTCCCACGTTGCATACAGCGACGCAGAGAGCCCTGCAAAGCTTCTGCAAGCCCGAGGCAACCTGCAGCCTCATACGAATTCCAACGTACCCGGCAACATTCCGTTAGGATTCACACAAACTCAGAAGAGCTTATTGTTACCCCAACCTGAATCACCCGACAATAGGACATCCTTGACTCGTCAACCGTTCACTCCTGGCAAAGGGACAAAGGAAGAGGAAACTCCAGAGGCTCTGAGTCTGGTTCGGAGAGACATGGGGCCGATCGATTGGACCCCACAAAGGAACGCGGATACATCAGTGGCATGCCTTGAGAACAATGGCCAGGAAACAGCCCACAGTTTTCACCTCAGCTCCTTACCCGACTTCACCGTTGACCAGATTGATCCTTCCCTTCATCTGGAGGTAAGCTATGTTGCGCAGCGAACTCATCCTACGTCACTGCGCCAAGTCCATGGAACATTCGCATTGGCAACGGAAGAACTGCTTAAACATATTACTGAGGCGGAACCGTGGGAGCCGCACTGGGAGAACGTTCGCCGTCTGATTCTTCGACACAAGGGCCTGATTACACTCCATAAACTGTGTGATTACTGCCCATGTCTCGAAGAGCTGGACGTCTGTGGCAATGATATAGGCCAATTAAGTGGCGTGCCCCAAACGGTTAGGACACTCAATATCCAAGGTAATTGTCTCTCTAACCTTACGGCCTGGGGCCACTTGACGAATCTGCAATATCTTGACGTGTCTGGCAACGGATTGGAGAGTCTCGGTGCATTCAGTAATTTGATTCACCTTCGGGAGCTCAGAGCAAATGACAACAACATTAAGGACATCAGTGGCATTCTCGACTTGGATGGATTGTTAAGCTTGCAACTCAGAAATAATGAGCTCGAGGAGCTTGACTTTGGTCGAGCGGAGCTGTAAGTGGTCCAGAACTTGGATGCCATTGCTGAAAGTAGCTAACACTTTTCGCGCGCCAACAGGACTCGGCTCGAGACATTGGATCTTAGCCACAACCAGCTCACGTCTATACGCAACATCGGCTCCCTCTCATCTCTCACAACGGTTGACCTTCGTTACAACAGACTGTATGAGTTCGCTGCGTCAGCGACTCTTTTCAATCTACAATCGCTCAAAGTCTCGAACAATGTATTGCGCAGCCTTGACATCTCGATGTTCCCGTCGTTGACGCTCCTTTACGTGGACCAGAACTTTTTGAGTACGATTTCCGGGCTTGCTACATGTCACTCACTGGAAGTCCTATCTGCTCGAGAGCAGATGAGTGGTAGCAATAGCGGCCTATTTGATATTGACTTGGGCTTGACGCAAGACATACGCAAAGTATTTCTTTCCTCTAATAGGCTGGCACCGCGCTGTCTTGCACCATCCAACGCCCTTCTGAGCCTGCAGCTCCTGGACATCGCTTCATGCAGCTTACAAGACCTTCCGGAAGATTTCGCATCAAGCTTCCCCAATGTGGTGGTCTTGAACATGAACTTTAACTCACTCAAGGGAGTCAACGAATTGGTGGGCATGAAATGTCTATCCAGACTGACGATCGCTGGCAACAACATTACCA